GCAGAAAATCAAAATCAGTATGTACACGTTTTCGACTCCACTTTCCCTCTGTTTGGATTATTCAGCTTTTAATATCTGATATAGACTCATGAATTCAGGTTTCTCCATAGCTATACAAAAAAAAAGGAAAGCCAAGATCCTAAGGTAATCGGTAAAAGATTAGAAACTGGGATACAAGGAAAAAAGAGAAAAGACAGATGTCCTGAGTCTCACAAGACAACTGTTATGGCTGCTGATGATGCTGAGAAGAAAAAAAGTATTTGTGGCATGCTTTTATAGAGAACTGGAGTTACATATAAGACACAAGAAATAAAGCCCCTTTTTGTTAGTGTTGCACATCTAGAAAGGTTTAAGCTCAAGAGGCTCATTACTGCTTCCTAGGAAAATCCATGGTTATTTTCCGTCTTCCCCTTTCACATAAACAAAAAGAACTGGATAATAAAGGAGATTTTCTATCCCATCTGAATGATGAATGTATGACCGCTTCAGTACTTCCTTATTTCCTTTATGGTGAAAAGGCAAAACCACGCCATGCCTCCTTCAATCCCACCTACTCAGGAAATCACAAAGTTTTGTTTTCATGGCTGGAATTAATTGCTTAATGATTAATGTTTTGCCAGCCAATCCCTCAGCTTGTGGTTTCTGATTAATGACAGAGAGGCCACAAGGCTCTCAGGTATTCAAAGATTATTTATTATACCTCCAGGTTCTGTCTGCGCTTTCACAGCATTTTAAACAACACACATGATTTACATCATCATTTTTAACCCTTTTATGGTGTCTCACACCATTGGGTTTTCACGTTTCTGGCAGACTTTATAGCTTTGATCTTTCAGTTAACTCCTTCTGTGCTAAGAGGAGAAGTGTTCCTTAAACCATTTGGGTAAGGATGACTTTTCCGGTGTGCTTGCTTGAGGTTGTTATTGCTCTAATAACCACGTTAAGCAGCACCCAGAACAATAAACCCTAAACACACTCCTTCTCAACTCACAACATGAATTTTACATGACACAAAACCTTGAAGGTAAAACCATCTGTTTGCTTTGGGCAATGCAGCTGTGAAGAGTTTTGTACACTGCACAACGCAGGACCAGACTTTCCAAATCAACTTGTAGTATCCATGGCCCTTCAGTTTCTGGGAGCCGAATCTGGGATATCGTCACACCGCTCATTTTTCAGAAGGAAGAACACTCTCTGAAAAGCAGGTTCCTTTAAGTCAACACAAACTGGTACCCCAAATCAAGGCACCAAAAGTCACTGGTCATACTTGACTATTCTGCTCAGGGGGGGTTGACATTTATTGGTTGTCGATTAGCACCCGATCATTTTATTAATCCAACTGTAGTTTGGAGTGGATAAAAGTTAGCAGTAACCTTATCTAGTTTTGCACATCTAAAATCTATTCACCCTTGGGTCTTTTTGTAACTGATGGTACAAAGCATCTGGTTTCAGAGGAAAAATAACTTCACCTGTCCCAGACCCTTATTCTAGAATGAGGTGAATTCCTTCTGGAAGCACCTCTTTCTCTTAGTTGACAAAAACTTTAAGTGAGTTTAATATTAAAAAATAAATAATAAAAACCCTGGTTTAAAATATGTTCCCTTCTATTTAAAACTATCTAAAGTGGAAAAAAATCTGTTCAAAATGCAGGGTACCAAGTGTGGGTTCTTTTTTTTTCCCCTCTTCAGTATAACATGTCCCTGCTCAGATTTTTCTAACATCAGAAGCCACCTGGAAGCTTGCAAAACAAAATCATTCAAATCAAATAAACCAATTTTTATAAATATGTCCTCTGAGAAAACAACTGAGAAAATACTGGATGCTGTAGCCTTAGGCTTGCATCTACTTTGACAGGAAGTGTGTCTTAGATTTCTTTCTTTGTATTAGCCTGAATTTGCATCTCCTTTTTTTTTTCCCCTCTAAGTCACAGTGATATAGGAGACTAATGCAGCACCTTTGGGATGACTGACAGTAGATGGCATCACTTAACCTGCTTCACTTCTGGTTGATCCTATCTGCAGCACTGTAACTTGCAGCTTCCAAAAGAGCCCCCGGCTGGGGCAAAAAAGGACATTATTGCTAGGGGTAGCAGAAAGCCCACGGTCTACACCAGACTGCTGGAAAGGTCAGCTGCTGTTTGACACTGGTACCTGTTGTTGGGGAAGAGATTGGGATGCTGGAGTGGCACCCTCAGATGACCCTTTTGGCATTTAACAGCTCTGCTCCACCCGTTCCCACTAGTGGGGCTTGACTCCTTAAAGGTACTGCCTCTGTTCCTCTGTTCCTCACCTTACTATTACAGGAGAAGCCTGGGTTGACTCTTTATCTGCCCTGTTTCCATTGCTGAGATGCACTGAGTCAGGTCCAGCTGATACAGCTTCCCCATTTTATGTTGCAAGGACCAAACTTTTTATTAATTAAACCACACTGAAGCCCAGGCCTACAGCCCTCCTTGAAAGTTGGATAAAGATATACAGCAAGGCAAAGCTACATTTACATTGTTAATGAGTTTCTCAATCTGAAAGCTTATAGAGCAGCGATCACATACTCTATTGTCCATGGGCCAAGAACAACAACGATGAAGACATAACACCCCCTGAGCAATGCTATGCTTTGCATTTTCTGTTGTTTTTAGTTTTAACTTAATTTCCTGTGATCGTGAACAGAATTTTCCAGGGGTTTGAGTGCAATACGCTGCTCATAAGTCACCAAGAAACAGTTTTCAGCTTGTGGTCTCCGAGCTCCTAGGATCTGTGGACTACTTCTAATAGGACTCTGAAAAGCCTGTTTTCAATTGGGTTTACTTTGCTATTAAGCAGCTTTAAGGTATGCTCAAATATATGTCTGCAATTTGCAGCTGGAAAAAAAACAACAATAAAGGTACCAGGTACACCAGTCTGAAAAGGTTCGAGCAGCCATGGGTCAATCAGAAGAGCTTTGTATTGCTACTTTAAGTATTCACACAACTCCATTTATGCTGGAGAACCTGCCCCTGGATTTATGTAGTTTGGAGTCATCCCTCTCAAGAGTTACGAACACCTCCCTCCCAGGCACCCCCATCCCATAATTGCACTGGCACCTACTGGTGAAATCTGTCCCTCTCCAGCAGTGTGCTGAGTTACTATCACTCTCCCAACTTCTGCATTTTTAAGGGCAGAAATTTAATGCCCGGTTTCTTCCATTTTAATGGCTAGTTTCTCCCACACCCTTGTAAAGCTTTGTAAGGTGACAGTAAAGTCCCGATAAGCTAATCTTCTATTTTCATAGTTTATTTGAACAACATATAAACAAATCAGTAATTAAAGCACAACAGCTGACATGAAAAAGAGAACAGTCACTGTGGTCAGAGGTCATTGGGTGTTTCTGTGTTAACCCAGTGGCCCCAGACAGGCAATAAATGCCTTCAATTCTTTCATTTAGTTAAAAAAAAAAAAAAAGTAGAGCCATTAGTTAAAATTATCAACGACAGGCAACCAAGTGGTTGGCAGTCCACTTGTCCTGCATTTTTTACCTTAATAAAGATATGCCCACTGCTGTGTTTCCACGTGTGGTGTCTAGGTTTCCCTGAAGGTTAAAGCCAATTTTATCCCGAGATGCTGCCTGATAAAGCTGCTTATGGGGAGCGAATAACCCTGCTGTTTTCACACCTGATCGATAACTGCTGGCCAAGCCTTGCACCAGTACAGGGAGGGAACGGGTTCTGAATTAAGCCTGAGTTTACTGAAGCGTGTAATTGACCATGCTAGAGATTAAAGCCCTTTACCCTGATTGTTGTCTCACCTATATAACCCCTTCCACTCGCAACTCAGAATTATTTTTTTGTTTTCCTTCTCTTTTCACAAAAAAACCCACCCGTGCAAGCGGGAGGCTCTGTAACGCTTCAAACACAAGGCCTGGCATTTCGGTCGTTCTTCTCTTTGGATCACACAACCCATGGCAAGCACAAAGTGCTCCCGGCCCGCAACCCCTTCCCGGCGGAGCCTCCCGCGGGCACGGAACCGTGCGAGCACACGTAGGTGTGTGCCCGTAGGTGTACACACATCCCCCCCAGCCCGAACCCCACAGAGCTCGGTCTATTTACGCCTATCTCCCTCTCTGTGTCTTTTGATCTCCCGTTGAAACGGCTACCGCAATTAAGAGCCGAGCGCTGGCAGGCGCGATGCGGGCATTAACCCAAGTTAATCATCTCCCGCTCCGCGGCCCCGATGAATGAGCGGCGCCGGGTTAACAAACTTCTCCCCGGCGCCGCCGCGGGCTCCCAGCCCTCCGCCAGCCGCTCGCCCTACGGGCCGCCGCCTACGCCCTCAGGTGAGCCCCGCCTGAGGGGAAGAAGCGACCGTTATAACGGCTGCCGCGGGGACGGGCGCCCCAAGCCGCCGCCACCCCCCGGCGCCCACCGCTCGCACCTGCCGGCCGGGGGAGCGGCGGGGGCCGCGGCTGCAGCGCCCTGTCCCCGGGGCGGCTCGGCAGCGCTTCCCCTTCGCCCTCCCGCCCGGAGAGGGGTTCTGGGGGCACCGGGGCGCCCCGTCCCGTCCCTTACCAGCTGCTCCTTCAGGGCGGTGAGGGTGGCTTCCAGCCGGTGCTCCTTGCTGTGGGCGGACAGGGGCTGCTCTCCTCCGCCCGCCGCCGGCCGCTGCGGCATGGCCAGGGCGGCCCGCACCAGCTCCCGCTGCTTCTCCCGCAGCACCTGGAGCTCCTGCAGGCCCTGGAATGTTTGTGTTGGGACAGCCAGGCCACGCCGCAGCGAGGGGAGGGAGAGAGGGAGGGAGGGAAGGGAAGAGAAGAGGGCTGCGGCTCCGGGCAGCGCCGGGGCCACCTCTCGGGGTGGAGAGGAGCCAGTGCCCGTCCGCTCCCTCCGCCCCGCGCGGGGGCGGCTCCCGCCTGCCCCTGCCCCGGGGGCTGCCCTCGCCCGGTCCCCCGCCCCGGCGGCGGGGAGGGACGGGGTGCCCGCGCCCTCCCTCCCTCGGCAGAGACAGCCCGTCCCGCTGGTAGGGAGCTGTGGGGATGCTGCGGGGACGCTGCGGGGACAGGAGCCGAGCCCGTCGTCGTGCTGCAGCCGCCCGCAAATGGGAATGGCGCGGGGATGCGGTGCGGGGAGCGCTGGCAGGTAGAGCATTTCCCTCACAAAGCTGGTGCTTTGTAACTCCATCCCTTCCCCTCTTTGCTGGTGGCTCCCGTCAGGCACAATCACTGGCACTCCTCGTCTTGCTCTCCAGAACCCAACCCAACTGGGACCTAATGGCAGAAGTTCGTTTTCTTTTGCTGAATGGTTGATTGCCACTTTGGAAGCAAGGCAGAGGCCTTTTCTGTGAGGTCAAGGTGTGGCTCAGCCCACCAAAAAGTCATTTGAAGGGCTCAGGATTTGCCTTGAATGGGACCTGAAAATACAGTTGGTCGTGGAAATCCAAGACTATGGATCCAAGACTGCTTGGTAGCTGGTGCTACCAAGTAGTGCCTGTGTTTAAATCTCCCAAGACAGGCAGCTGCAGCATCTTGGGAGGTAGTTGGTTAGCAGGCAGCAAAGCCAGTATGTTGAGTCTGCTCTGTTGCAGGGGGGGAGAAGAAGCCCTGATATCAGAGACTGGTGAACACAGTGGAGATCGTGCTACAGGAGACTTTCTCATGCATATACCGAAACAGGAAGCATTGGGATCCCATAGATCCTGAGGTCACTGTGTGCCACACTTAAGAAACTGAAATAATTTCAGGAAGGGCGTATGATTCTTCATGAAGCAGTGAGCACATACACAACCCATCTGTCTGTGGTTATCTTCTGTTCACCCTGTGGCGTATCTGTAAAAGCTAGCATACTTTAATTTGAATGTCACTTGACTTTGTGCTGGGTTGCATGAGTTGGGTAAGCAGGAACCAGTTGCTCTGTCATCTGTTCTTCAAGTAGCCTTTTTTCAGCAAGCACTATGTGTGGGAGGCCATTTCTGTTGCTGAGACTGAAGCCAGCCTAGCTTTCCCTGTAGCAGTCCCTAGCTGTAGGAATGTCAAAAGCACTTATGGTCATGTCAAATCCAGCTCCTGCTGAGGGGGGACGAATTATTTGTGTGTTTGTTCACCAAGTCCCATCCAACACATTACTTGATAGTCCCAGTAGGACTAAGCCTTGCTTTCACCATGTCACTTTCGACAGTTTTGATGTAGCTTGAAGATTTGAGAACAATATTTACCCTGCAAACTTGAATGATGTCAGAAGAGGTCCAGAGAGGTTTTGTTCTGACAAGTTGTGCACAAATATTCACAAATGGCTCCAGCTGCAGGAACAGGTATGACTGACAGTCACAGCACCACAGTGCTTAGTTAAAGTGTATATGAGATGTGATATGTATGACGTCACCTAAGGCATCTAAGGTTTTATTTGCGTTTTTTTTTTCCTCTTTAATGAATATATCTCTGCTTTTCTTCCTCCCCCATTCATCTTGCTGAACTTCCCTGTGTAGAGCAATGCCTCAGTGCCAGGATGATGGAACTCTTCATCTACAAGGTGGAAAGAAAAAATGAGCTCAAAGCTGAGATGCTCTGGAAGGTGATGACAAAAGACAGCATGAAACGCTGTCACCTCTCGGATGGAGGGTGGCAAACAACCATCATTGTGTGGCATGTGACAAGAATCTTGCAAAATGCCATTCCAGGTATGAGGAGCTAAAGTGTTTTTGTAAATTGCTTGGCTTGGCACTTGTTAAAACAGCCATACAGCACAGTTCCTTATTTTATTCAAACCATGTTCTAACATGACCAAATAGGAGTCACTGACACAAATACTGGTTAGTATATACTTGCTAGGAGAGTTAAATGATATAGGGCAATACATCTTTCTTTCTCTTCCTCCTTCCTGTACAAGGAACTGTTATCCTTTGCTCTTTGTTCTTCCTCTTCTTTCATCTCGTTATCTTTTCGTACATTAAATCCCAAATGGGCTATATCACAGCAGTATCTTTATTCTAATCAGCTTCCTGATTATCCCCTCTGTTTTACTGATTACTTTCTTCCCCAAAACCTTTGTGACGTCACTTAATCTTTACAGATCATTCAACAAATAGCTTGTGTCATGCAATTTCTGGAGGATAGAGTAAAAGGTGTGAGTGCACCCAAATTTAAAACTATGAGATCACGTGTAGCAGTAAAGGTGAAACCTTTGTATTAGGGATTTATAAAACTTCTGCTATTCTTAATTTCTGATAGAGAAGAATGGTTGATAATGATGTTCTGTAAAGTTTCACTAGACTTTAAGAATGACTTAAAGAAAAAAGGGAGCAGTTTATATGTATCACCCCATTTTGCTGCCTGGCTTTAGCACACTGAAACCAAATGCTGAAATGTAGCTTGCACTTTTCAGGAGCCAAAAGGTTCGACTTTTCACTTGTGTTACTTTAATTGCATTAGTTTCAAAGACATTATTCTTGTTTTAATGCAAGAGTAGGAATAAGATTCCTGTTTTCCACCTATGGATTCTGAATATCAGAAAGTTGTAGTAAACGAATGGTACAGTTTTAAAATCAGACACCAAAACAGTAGGAAATAAAACATTTTGTCTACATAATCTTATTTTAGGTCCTGATTTATATGAAAGATGAGTGATCAGTGGGCAACTACTCAGTGTCCTCTGTCCTCCTGCTCCAGCCTGTGCCTTTACTGCAGATCACTTAAACTGTGCACCACTGATAAAATTTCCTTTTGATTTTTTTTTTTTTTACTTAGCATTCTAGCTTTTAAGTGCCTTATGGGGTGAATGAATAATGTATTTACAACATCCCAAAATGTATAAATCTGTTTTTATTTTCTAGGAGGGTACCTGAGGCACTGAGTTTCATTGCAGACGTGCTCGTTCATTTTAGGTACCCATTGGAGATGCCTTTGGCCTGATTTTTCAGTGTATTTAGTATTATACAGTTAATATGTATATATTTTATTGTTCCAAGCAGAGTTCCCTTTGACTTCAGTTGCAGTTCTGAGCACTCAGCACTTTGGTAAATTGAATACTGGGCATTTTAATTTGAATCCCTAGAAAAACGAGGAACACAATTAGTGCTCCTCGTATGGAGCCAGCTTGGGTGTGCCTGCACCTGTGGTAGAGGCATGCCCTCAGAGCCTCATAAACTCCCAGGAAGGAGGCAGGTGTTATTTATCCTGTTTGGCAGATGGAGATGTACAAAGAGGTTAACCCTTTTACATAGGACCGAACAGGAAATCTGTGGTAGGACTTGAAAGTGAAGCCACATCATTCATGTGACCACAGAAATGACTTTACTCCCTGTTTTGTGGATGCATAATTAGCCAGTTTGTGTGGGACTAATGTTAAGGGTATGACAATTTGTATTGACCTCCAGATGTGTTTAAAAGTAGTTGAATGTTTGCTTTGGATGAAGTCCAGAGTACACAAAATGCTTTGGTATACCAGACAACTTCAAAAGCTAAATTGCAGTTTGCTTCCCACATTTGCTTATGTTTTGTTGTGAAAAAATAATTCAGAGGGTTTTTTGGTAATGTTACTTTGTGGAGGGATATAAAGTCTCCCCACATAGGCTTCAGCCAGTGTGTATTTTAGTTGTGTCTTTAGCCTACAGACTGCCATTGGCATGGGTAGCAATACTTGAGGAAGAATATGTTTGTTGAGGACTATCTCTTGACATGACAGAAACTCAGTGCGTGCACCAGCATTATCACTTTGCCAGCCAGCCTCTCTGTCCTCTCTGTTGTCCTGTTGTGAGCTCCAAAAGCCTCTTGGTATCAGTCCTACTGAGGGTCTCATGCAGCGATACTGCCTAATGGAATTTTCTGAGCTGCTGACATCTGGCAGATGTTTAGCATGTTAGTTGGAGGTTGCAGAGCAGTCACATGTGGACTGAGCCAAGCCTAACACAAGCTGTTATCCTACTCAAGATAAGGCAAAGTGCAATTCTTTTAGCTGTCATTCCTGTTCATCATATGCCCAAGAAGATGTGTACTGAGCATATCCTTTCATGTAAAAGAACCGAGGCACTGCTTAGTGGTACAAGGTTCTGCTGTGATGTGGAATGGAGCCTTCTGCAATTTTTTGGGAATGTTAAGTTCAACCATTAAAAATATGCTGAAAGTGGACTAAACCCTTATGTTACACACACTGGGTAGTGTTAGTTCTGTGCTAGCACTGTTTGCCCGAGTAGGTATTGTATGTCCCTCTCTGAGATGACTGTAAGTAAATTACCATCATCCAGGCATTTCACCTAATTAGCAGAGCAGCTGCCTTTCAAAACATTCTTCTTAAGGGCTGATGTCTCAGGGATTACTTTATTTAATTAGGAAGAAACAAATCACTAGTGGGAAGGTCTCTTTCTAGAGTTCAGAGAATTTGATTGAAATTGAAAAAAATGACTTTTTGAACTATAGCTTACATGGTAATTGATAGGGAAAAGGAAGTGAGAATACAGCTGACAGATATATCTTCTGCTAAAAAAACAGATTTGAGTTGATGGAGGTCTTTAGAAAGAGGAAACTTCTGAAAACACGAGCAAAATCCTGCCTTCAGCTACCAGGGATTAGGAGATGTCCATCTGTTTTTGTGATTATTTCTGTTTATTTTTCGCAGTGTTGCAAGTTGATGCTCTTGTGGCACTCCCAGCACAATGGTGGGGGTTGCAGGGAAGGGAGGAGGCTTTGCTGAGGACTGTTAAAAGCTTAGCATGAAATTGCTCATTCTTGTCTCTTTCCAGTTTATGCCCTCCAACTGAAATCTTCATAATGAAAAGCCTATATTTCAGACCACATAAAAATGTGTATATTCATAAATCTGTGGATAGATAGGCAAACTGGGGGGAGGCACATGAGAAACGGTTGCACAGATGGGGACTCAAGAAGCACAGAATATGCAGGAGAACAGAGAAAGCAGTGAGGCCCAGAAATCCAGGTAGGCAGGAGTGGCACACAATAGCCAGGATGAGTGTGGGGAGAGAAGCCTGAGAGTTAAGCCAGAAAACAGAGTTAAGGGCATCAGTGTTCAGAAAGAATGGGAGATGTGAGAACCTAATAGAGAATAGAAAAAAAGTGATACAATTTGGTGTGGTTATAATGGCTTCTTGCTAAGGACCTTGAAAGCATTGCCATCCTAAATTAACAGGGGAGAAGTACAAAGAAATCATTTGAACTGCAAGAGGTCTAAGTTTACAACAGATCGTAACCAGAGGTGTCTGGGGGACACATGGTGAATGCGGTTGGCCTGGGGCCAGTACTCAGAGAGTGGCTGCACCTCCACGTGCTCATGGACACAAAGTTCGTGTAAGAATCTTTGGAAATAAAGGAAACTTTAAATTTGACTTCTCTAAGAATGAGATGCCAGATGTGGATGCTAGGTGCTTCTGCTATGGGATGGACAGACCTAAAGGGAGGAGCTGGGCCAGAAGGCTGTCCCACAGCAACAGGAGTTAGGGCAGTTTTTGGAGGGTAGCTGTCAGTAACTTGCTGCTGAGAGGGGCAGCAGCCCTTTCCCATTGCTTCCAAACCTCATCGCTGTTGTGATGGAAAGAGCCAGGCTGGCTGCTTGGGCTGGGGCACAGGCAAAGAGGAAATGGAAGCACCATCATTCTGATGCCCCTGTGTGTTATGTCTGTTTTGTCCACGCCAGGACTAGCCCTCCTCTGATGTGCCTTGTACTGGATTGTGCTCCCTTGATGCTGATTGCCCTTTTCCGGCTCAGCTCCTGCTAAGAACAGTTTGCAGGTCAATGTTTGCCTGAAATCAGGCACACAAAGACAGCACACACTCTGCCTTGTGCTGTTACATCAGAAGCCAAGGAGAATAATGGTTATTTCTCCACATCAAGGGATACCTTCTTTTACGCCTGTTGGCATCCTTGTGAAAATTCAGAACTGACTACTAGTGAATCCTGATATTAGTCCCTAATTCTCCCTTGCAACCTCCCTCCTTTCCATATTTCCTCCCACCGATTATAGCTTATATTTTTTTCCCAGCAGAACCTCACTTTCTTCTTGTCCTTCTGATTTCTGTTGGCTCTGCAGAAATATTTTTCTGCCCTCATTATCATTCATAATGCTTAGCAAGTTCACATCACTTGAGATTTCATTACAATATTGCTTAAAACCCTCTTCTTGATTGTAAACGTTAAGTGTGAATTCCAGCAACATTGCAGTACTGTTCCAGACAATCCTCCCGGTCCTTGCTCTTCATTATTGCTTTCCCTTTACTTCATTACCCTTCAACAGCTTTTCAATATAGGTGATCATGTTTGCATGTCCAAGCTGCCACCTTTTCTGTTTGCATGCCAGATTACTCCCAGTGACTTGTAACCCTTCATTCCAGGGTCTGTTCTTATTCTTACATGTGTAGTTTGTTTTTACTTTGGGCTTTTCTGCTAATATAGGAAATATTTTTGGATTGCACAGCTGTCTTCTAAAAATATTTGGAATCGGTCTCCTGCTGTTTTGTTGATTTAGTCATTTACCGTTTTTATTTTCCTCTAGCCCAAGGGATTCCAATTTTCTTCTTTCACTTGTCCAACATTAATAAGAAATATATCCATCAAAGCCTTTAAAATTACACCAATCAGAGAGCTGCTGTTCCATTGCTTTATATTTCATGTTGTACACTTCACATCAAATTCTTAACTAGCATTTGCATGTGGATTTGCTTTTGATCATCCTGTGTGTGTGTAACTCTCTATGATCTTTCTGTTTTCAAAGTTCCATACTTCTCTGCAAAACAAAGCAAAACCTGGTGTATATAATGTCTAAACCTGCTTTTTTGAAAAAGGAATGCATTTCCGACAGGAAAAGCTAATGCCAGTGTGCAGTTCCAGATCATAAAGTATTTCTCCTGCCCTACTGCAGGATTCCACTGATCAACTCTGAGGTCTTGTAGAGGAAGTGCACTGTGTTTTTTCTGGACAGATGTAAATTGAAGTTTAGTTAGTGCAAAACAACCTCAAATAGTTTTTCCAATGAAAATAAAACACAATGCCAGGAAAAAAAGAGGGAGAAAAAAGGGTCCTTTCATGGCGATATATTGACAAGCTTAGTTAAGGATGGCAAAAGTTTTCAGGACATAAGGTTTGAAAGCTCCAAGGCACCTATTCAGCAAGATATGTAAACACTCACCTAACTGTAAATAGGTGAGTGGCCCCACTGAACTCAAAAGCACTACTTTTATGCTTAAAATTCAGCACATGCACTAGTATCTTGCTAAACTGAAGCCAAAAGACCCACTAATTTTAATCTTCCCAAACACACCTGCAAATTCTGGGTCGGGGAATCCAGAACAAAACATGTTTTGTTAAAAATAGTTAGCTTAAGGATCTCCAGGAGGAACATGGAAAGAAAGAGGAATTCCTCTTACAGTTTTACAGCATGCTGATTTAGCTGGCGTTTGTATTTATTTGCATTTTAGATCTGTGCAGGTAGTGGGGGTTAGACTGCAATGCGGAGGATGGCATGGTAATGTACTTTTGTTGACTAACAGGCATTGAATATATTCAGATAGTGCACCCTTAGCTTGCTGGATGCTCCTTTTTGATTTTTTCACTAAAAAGCAGAAAAAACAAACCAACAACCTGCTGACTTTTGAGGACTCTGATTTTATTGGGCATGCTTTAAAATGCATTCTTTTCTTCTAGGAAAGGTAAAATGGAGCGGATCCAGTTTGCTTCACTGACCTGAACGGTTACTGGAAATATTTCAGTGAGTTTTGTGAATTAATAAGATTTATATGGAGGTGTATAAGAATCACACTGAGCACTGTGGTGACTAGGAAATGCTTTCACTTAAAGGACTTTTTTAAAAAAGTGCAGATGTGTGTATCCCCAGAGAAGCACATCAATGTCAGTAACACGTGAGATGGGAGAAAAAGCAAGGAACTATCAAATTCCTTGCTTCATTCGGATAATTTTAAATCCTTTCCTTTTGTTAGGGCGGAAGTGTATGAAAAGCCATATACTGAATCCTGTGTTTCAACCATTGCTTTGCTCTGTTTATAAGAATGAGCAGACATACTCAAAAAACATGCCTTGGGGACTGTGCTTTCCTGCTGAGTCTACACCGAAAGAATTAATCACAGAGCTTCAATTGTGTCTCCATTTCCCAAAGCTGGAGCCTGTCTGGGCTCCATAGCTAGGTCAGTGATAAAACCATAGCAGAGATTGCTTCAGTATTCTAAATTGGCAAAATGTACTGGTGTACATCACACCACTGTAATATTGCTAAATGCATCAGTGGAGCAATATTAGGGCAAACTTTTCTCATCAATAAAGCCTTTGCTTCATTTTTTTCCTGGCTAAAAAGAGCAGTGGCAAACCAAAATAGGGATATTTATTTCTTTTTCACTTCTTTCTTTCCTGTAAAGGTTAACTAAAGTACCTACTGAATAAAATTGAATTACTTTACAGAAAATGGTTCTTTGCTCTTAGGCATATTGCAGAAGAAGAGCTGTACTGGTAAAAAGATGGTGCTTATTCTCTGAAACTATATTTTCAGCATGTTATGCAACACCAGCAGGTTTGCTAAACTCCAGTTGTGTATCGGTACCAACAGTTAGTGTTTTGCATATTTTGCCATTTGCATGTAGGGTCTGCTGAATTCATCATCGTCTTTGCAGCGGGGTGGTGATCAGGGGCAGTTAGAAGTCATTAGTGAGCTGTGGAAAATCAAATGGAAAACTTACAAGTGTGCCGAGACACTGAGTGTGTGCTCAGCAATGGGATGGGCTAAAGCACATATTGCACATTCCAGGATGGGGAAGATGAATGGGAGATGCATAGCTGATCTCTAATTCCTCTGCTACTGAGGCTGTAGTGTGTGTGCTTTGTTTAACATTTTGGTTCACATTTTTTGTGTGTGTGAACAAACACACACACATACACATTATCTGTGTATGACTTTGCCATGTCATCCTCTCTAACTTATTCCTCTTCAGCAAATTTGTGTTTATTGTCAGGTGCCTATGAAGATTCCTTGGTTACATTCTTAATTGGATTTTTTATTAGACTAGTTTGATTGCAAAGTACGTTGCCATGCAAACACCTGGGAAAGACAGGGGACAGGAAATTGTAACTAGAGCTTTTTATAAAATACTGAGTTCTTAGAATCACTTAAAGTATTATAAATTAATATCAGCAACCCATGCCCAAGTAGTCCTTAATCATGATTTGATTGCAAAAAGACATATAACACAGTTAATTGGACATGAGATGATTTAGTATTGTCTGAAATACATACTACTATCTTCTATACGTACTACCATCCATAATGTTTCATCTCTCACCACAGGAGACTCGTTCTCTTTTCACATGTCTTTCTGATGTAATAATGTGAGCATACAAAGCATCTCTTACTGGCCTGCTGTCCTTTTGGCTGCAGCGATACCAGGTACTCCTCCCACCTGTGCCAGGCTATAAAATAAGCATCTTGAGTCTTACCTCCTGCTGACTGTTCTTATATTCATCTTCAGTGATGTTGTGGAGGGCTTGCCTGAGTGGACAGGAGTTGAAAAGCTTACAGAATTGAGAGAGGCCTATGTCAAGAGGTTGCTGGGTTAAATCTGCATGAAGACTGAGACAACAGAGAAATTCTCCCAGAGGATGCCACTCTTTAATTCCTGGAGAAGAACAAGTAACACTAGAGTGTATTTCAGTTATGGCACTGCTAGAAAATTTTGCATGATTGTGACTGAGTGCTCACTACATATAACACTGTCTATTAACACTATGAGCATACCTGAATCCGGCCTGAAAAATGTCCAGGGAATTAAGCTTGGTCTGAGCTTGACCTGTTGCGGGTTAAACAGTCTCCTGTGATTGATAATAGGTTTTCTGGACAACAGATGTGCTGCCATTGGGAGTGGGTGCAGCACAACTGCAGAAGTTGCTAGTGCTCTTGTTCCACTGACTTGAGATAATTGTGCTTTGGTGTTATGGGCACATGTGTTCTCTGAAATACCAATGCCAAGGAGTTGGAAAAGGAATTTCAGAGGAGCGTTTACCCCTTGTGGGGGCTTTTGTAATTATTTTGTAATTATTATGTTTATACAACACGGTAGACCGTGATGCACTAGTACACAGTTACTGCCAAATATATTGGTTTGAGAACTGAAAGAGTATAGCACTGCCACAAGGTAAGCATGAATTTTAGGTCAGCGAGAGGCAAACGTTTCTAATTCTCAGTTAGAGCTTTGTCTGTCTGACTACGTTAATTTAACCTGGAGCTTGGAGAAGGGGTTTGAAGATGCAGCATCTATTTGAAAGTATTTCCACAGCTAGATATTTAAGAATTATTATAGAAAAAAAACCAAAGTAACACCATCAGGGATCCTGAATGACACGGAGTGAAACAGAGGAAATCAGAAGTCACTTAAGGGATTAAGTGAACCTCCAAAAATTATTCAGGTCATGTTTGGATTTGGTGGCTTGTCCTTCTCCTATCTGCACATTTGCTCTTCATCTCTCAGATCTGACATTATTCACTCTGAGGAGAGTCTGCTGCTATTTCTGTTCCCGCTGACCATGGGAGCACCGTGCTGTTTTGGAGATCAGGAGTGAGCTGCTACATCAGTGCAGTATGTGTGCAGAGATACTCCTTCATGTCCCAGCAGGACTGTGTGTCTCTGTTGGTGTCCCTGAGCTCTTTTGTGCCTCAGCACTGCTCTAGCACAGTCATGCTGTTTGTAATTGTGGTGCTAGCTCATGGCCTCACGCCGTGGCTTGGGCATCCCCTGAGAGCATTGTGCAAGCCTGCCTAAGAGACACCATAGCTCTCTGGCACCCATGCCTTCTGCCACAACTTGCGAAAAGTAGGATCAAGTAGCACAGACTCTTTTTCTTCCCTCTTGCTGAGCTGAAATTATCCACTGGGTCATTTCCATCCCTGCTTCACAGATTCCTCTTCTCTGCAGCACTGATAAATTTCCTCTCTTCTGTATAGATACAGTTCTTCAAAAGCTCTTTCTCAACAGAGTAGATAGATGGCAGAAATCCTTACCCAGAATTTGCCTTGCAAAGGTGGAGATGTTAGTGCCCAGACCCACATTAGCAGCAAGGTAGATCTCTTTTGACCTCTTCTTCTGACCTTAAGTGAGACTTTAGTGCTTTTTTAAACCTTGGTAGCTATACCAGAAGCCCTGAGATCAGCATCTCCAAACATCAGCGTGGATTAAGTTTTCTCCATTTTCTCTTCCAAAACAGAGGCAGCTGCTATCCTCATTGCAACCATGAAGAACATCTGCCATCTGTTATCAAGAGTCTGAAACCTTAGCTAGCAGCTACCCTGCTGAATGTTTTTAATACCTGTAAAATAACACTGATGCACCAGCTGCAGTACAGATTAAGGACAAACACAGAAACACTTGCAAAAAGCAAAGCATCTCCGTGTGTGTGAGCACCCAAAGAAATATTTCATCTTCACAGAACAGGATGTTTTAAATTAGATGCTCAAATCTCCTTCCCTGCAAGCAAATTCTTGTGTAAATCCTGTAAAGCCCTTCCTAGAGAAAATTTGGAAGGCTAGATTTGCTTTGTATACATTTTCTGTTTGCTAATCAGCGTATTCCATTGCAGACCCATCCCAGCTGGGAGAGAGTAATCCACCCGTCCCAGGACATCAAATTAAAGTAGCAACAGGAAGTCTTTGTCTGTATAGTCTTCGGGAAGCAATGTTAGAATGAACAACAATAGAATGTTGCCTCTTCTCTCCGCCACGTAAGGTGAAATGCAGAGGAGATGGCAGGCATTACTTGCTATGTCCAAGGACAGAGATTTGGGATGAGGCTCTGGTTGTCTGCTGGATGAATGTGGGAAAAAGAGGAAAGAGAATGAGACTGAAGAGAGTGTAACAGAGGAGGAGACGCTCACTTCCCTTTTCTAACGTTGAAGAGAATGAAGGTGGGACAAAAAGACATGCTTTGTTGTCTTGCAGATTGAGAAGACAACTGTCTCAGAAAAACCCTCAGAGCCTTCAAGGACACCAGCTGAATCATTCAGCAGGTTTTCTGGAGAACAGCTCTGGTGCAACTTCAGCCATCCTTTTTCCAGCATGCAGAGTAGCAGCTTGCCCCTTACCATGGTAAAGGTGGTGGTGACAATAAGAAGTTGAACATTTCCTGCTGGAAGATGGGCCATCTCAGTTTGAAATGCTTTACTCCTACCCCAAAGAACAGTCCCCACCTAATGCTCATATGAAATCAATATTTACACAGCAGGCTGGACTTAGAACACTTCAGTATGTTTTGCAGTACTCCTGGATCCTTGGTATTTGTGTTCAGGCTTGTCACTTCTTCTGTCTTAGACACACTGGGAGCACCCTAAAATGGCAGAGCCATGTGATGTGACCCCCAAGAAATTGTGCTTGGAGTACTCATCTCTGGAGGACGGATAAGAGTTGCTTCCTTAATTAAGTGGTTTCTGGGCTAAGTTCTCCCAATGAAGGCTTTTATTTCTGGTATGTGAGCTCTCAAACTGACAGTGCCATGCTTCTCACATGATTCAAAATGAATTTTACTTACGTGGCTGTTAGGGCTTATACCCACAACCCCTGTTCTTTTGGCTTTCCACCTCTGTGTGTGTATCCAGTGTGGTTTCTGGGAGGGTATAATGCCTCTGTTATCAGAAAGCAGAACCTTTAATAACCTCTGGGGTTTTATAATCCTTTCTTTCATTTCCTTTTAAATTCATCCAACCCTGTCTTGCTGTGAC